AGGGCCTCTTCAATCAACTGGGTGTTTTGTCCTCTTATGGGAACCGCAATTATTCATATCAGACTATGTGATCTGCTAATGTAAGGGTAGTATTTAGCACTGTGGTACAGTATAGTTGCAGCACAAAATAATTTGATGCGAATCACACAGTGATACACTGTCAGTGTTTGATCTGCTGCAGAGAATAAATGTCAATGAAGGGAACAGACAATATAAAGAAGTACCATTTACTATTTGCTGACTCATACAAGTAGTTGGTATTGCTTGTCGACCGGACCTAGGTGATCTGAACATGGGAAACGCGTCCAGTATATATATATATATATATCGATGTGGTTGTATTCTCTGAGCTGGATGCTTTACTTGCGAAGCCTTCGTTGCCCTACTAGACAACAAACATCTTCAGCTCATACTTCAATTTGAATTGAAGTAAGGTTTTAGATTGGTGAATTTTGTCTATCTCGATGTGTCTATTGATTGAAGATACACTGGAATACCAGGCTTCTAAAACTTCTCTAGCATTCTTGTTGTTTCCTCTGTCTAATATTTCAACGTTGTCCCAGTCGAATTGATGTTCGTGGTTGTCTGTATGTAGTGATATGAGTGATGGAGTGGATATCATGTCTTTTGACAGCTAGCTTATGTTCGTGGATACGAAGACGAAGGGGACGTCCACTTTGGCCAATGTAGTACTTTTCGCAGTTTTTATAGTTTATTTTGTAGATGATGTTGTTGATACAAAATAAACTATAAAAACTGCGAAAAAGACTACATTTGCCAAAGTGGACGTCCCCTTCGTCTTCGTATCCATGAACATAAGCTAGCCGTCTAAAGACATGACATCCACTCCATCACTGATTTCACTACATACAGACAACCACGAACATCAATTCAACTGGGACAGAGGGAACACCAAGAATGCTAGAGATGTTTTAGAAACCAGCCTTGTATTCCAGTGAATCTTCAATCAATAGACACATCGAAATAGACAAAATTCACCAATCGATAAGAAGGAAATCTCACACACATAGGATCAAAGTTCAAGTCAAGGAAACAATCAGTTCCAATACAAGTGGCCCAGAGGGTTTGAAAACACACAAAAACAACCAGCCATGTTCAAGGTTTCCACCAGGAGAGATGACTAATGAACTCGTGGAGAAGCCTAAAAGCTCATTTCAGTTCAAATTGAAGTATACTCTGAAGATGTTGCCTAGTGGTGGGCAATGAAAGCTTCGCAAATAAATCACCATCCAGCTCAGAGAACACAACCGCATCAAAATCATCCACCTGAGCTACAAATCTTCTCCATCGTATATATATATATATATATATATATACCACTTATGATATGAAACAGATCAATTATTACGATCTAAATATTTTCGGTTTGTAAAGAAAACCATGGTGAATATTCGTATCGTGCTTTGTAGTATACAAATGACGAATTTGATCCTTTGTTATCAGTTCGCCTAATAAGTTAGTTAGAATTCGGATGATTTAAACTCAGCTTTCTGAGCTGATGCAATTGCAATACATTATTGATGGACCGGAACTCACACAATCGAAACAGCCATATAGCGGTCAGATCTGATTGATTAGTCCCAACATTTGTTAGTGGTCTACATCTTCATCAGTCTGAAGTCAGTGTGGGGAGATGCTGCACTCCACATAAAGAACAAGGTTTGGTTCAGAGACTTGGTGAGTCACTGAAAGAGTTTCCAAGACGCTACTGTAAACTTTTATCAACAGCTACTCAGCCTGGATCGATAATTGAAGATCAGATTACCAGAAAGGATTAGCAATGAAGAACTCAAGGGACGAACCAAACAATTTTCCGATGTAAAAGAAAGTTGAATGAAGCTGTTGGTTCTTATGACCGTTGCAAAATTGATGATACTGATATAGAAACCAAGGCTGAAGTTAAGTATTTTGGATTAATTCTTTCTGCTGACTTATCCTGGTCTTCCCATGTCTTAGCGATTTCTACAGGAATATTTCGTCTGACTTCTTGCATTAAGAAATTAAGGCACTCAGTCATAACCCAAACCCTCCTGTTCTTACAATTTGTCAACTCTTTCATCTTACCTAATCTTCTATAATTGTTCACCCTTCTTCTTTCCTGGGTTGCTTAAAAAAGATTATGTCATACTTCTTAGAACTCTGAAGAATGTTAGTAGGGAGAGTGGTATCCCAATGGATCATGTCGTTAACGTCGTCGTTGATCGGTACTTGATATCAAGCAACAGATTTGCTAAAGGAATTTTGTCAGACTATGAGCATCCACTTTACCCGGCAGCTTCAAACTTGTGTCTCCTCCTCAGGTAAAACAATAAGTCTTTTCAGAAGACTTTATGCACGTATGTCTAAGTATAAAAATTCCACTTTACCATATTTGGGACGTAATTTATGTGATGAAAATAGTGTTAGGCATGAACTAATTAATCTTCTTTACACTATTAAATAAAGCATTTCCTCCACCTTTACAACATCAACCTTTATTGTTATTGTTCCTCGTATATCTATAATCCTCTCAATTTTTTCTTTTTATTTGTTTATTTTTTCATAAGTGTGAACATAATTTAAGCTGTGTTATAACTGTTAATTTTGTATTTCCCCTTCACCATGCCAGAAATAAAAGCTGGTAAAGAGAAAAGGTTGGGCATGAAGCTAGCAACCTCATCCTGTAAAAAATAATCACCACTGCTACAGAAACTTCAAGCCTCTAGCTTGAAGCCCTATGTTCCACTGGGAACGTGAAGAAATAAAACAAAAGCATATACTGAGGAAACCGTTAAGTGACTTTGCACACGAGGCCAGCTATCGAGTGGAACACGAATGGGAAACGACAGGTTGGGTGTTCGACAGTAACCTGGATAGGATCGTGTGAGTAGCAGCTGGGAATTTATGTGCTGAAAAGGACTGCAGACAGAGGGGTAGAACGGGGTGTTTGTGTTGTTGATGGCCTGTTTTCCGCTTGGAAGCCGAGCATTAATCAGTAGTGTGAACCATTTTTTGAAAGTAGTATAGTAGAATTTCATCCCTCGAACTGTGCACATTGCATATTGTGACTTTGATTTATAGTATGATCAATTCCACGAGGTGGCCAGCCAGATATTGGTTGGCTGGAACTGATTCGGCCCAAATCTCTGAGCTGAGTTGTCAAACCGGCTACACCACTCACTGATCAGCCTGACCCCAAAGAAACGAAACGGCCACCTTAACGGCGTTTAGATTACCTCGATCTGGTTTGCTGGCAAACACTACTGGCTAGTTGATAGGAGTGGTATATGACTACTGATCTCAGTTCATCAGTAGTATATATAATATTTTTGTTGTTTTTTTATTTTCACAATTAATGAAGTTTGGAAAACTGTCAAATGAACAGGTTTAATTCGCCAATCCTTGTTTTAGACCACCAATAGGCATGAATTTTGTAGACAATAGCAATAAATCACTAATATTATTATTATTTATTAATCATTTCATCGCACACATATCATGCATCATTAATTATTCGATTACATAACTTCATTCATTCATGGGAACGGTTTTTCCTCTTCTTTCTTTCTTTTTTCTATTTTTCAATTTCACTTTCATCCTTCAATCTACTTTGATCCCAGGTGATATTGGTATTTCGGCGAAATTTAATGTGTAGCTTTCATGTGTAGCGTGTAATATGCGCTAACTAACTACCCAACTAACTAAATAACTAACCATTTTTTTCCTTTCTTCGCCTTACTCTGTGAATTCAATTCATACAATTTTGTGCGTACGTCTATCTTGCATAATCCATCTTATTCAACAGTGTCTATAATCATGATGATAAGATACATTGTAATAGTCGAAAGGAATGCGTTTTAACAAGTTGGTTAGTACAAGAAAGATGAAAGATCAAACGGTGCTAGTAGGATAACCGGCATATCATCATCTACTTTGAAGTGTAGCTCCTCTTATTATTATCATTATTGTTATCAACAATGAAGAGAAGGTGGGGCGGGGCGGGGCCGAGCTGGGCCGGGAAAGCTAATTATAACTCAAAGGGGGGGGGGGGATTAATAATTTTCTTGTCAAAATAAAAAAAGGAAGAAATTTTAAAGCGATTACAAACAAAATGACATTTTTGTGTCTAAGCAATTTTTATTTCTTCTGCCAAAAATGAGTTCGACCAGTTATTCGCCTATATATACAGACAGACAGACAGACAAAATTAATCATTCTTCGATTACTTTACTACTGATGGTGATATAATAGTAGTATTGATAATAATTAATTATTTTATTTATGATTAGAAGTATCTCTACAATAGTAATAATAATAATAATAATAACAATACTGTTGATATATGCATCTATCTTTATTTTCGATATATGTATGTATATATTTCACATTTCTGTTTTACAAGACAAGGAGATAAGGGAACCGTTTGCGTGTCTGTGTATGTGGTTGCATAAATGATTAGCGATTCTCAGGGAAGATACAATGTACGGTTTCTATGGAAACGGCATCCTGACGATTACACTGTTTGTTATACATACACTATCGGTATCAACATCAAATGAACAAGGAATAAAACAATGGAAATTACAGCATAATTTTTAAACAAAAAAAATGCAAAGTCTGCTGTTTACCTCACGTCTGAAGGAAACATTTAATTGTTATATTGTTTTGCTGAAGAGAATGAATATTATAAATATATTATAGATGATATATATTTAAATTGAAACATTTACATTGAAACCATTGAACATACACTGTGAAGTACTTTGTTTAAATGTTAACTAGATAAAAATGGCGCCCTTTCAAAATTTAATTTGTCTATTTATGAGACTGTTTGTTATCACTTGTCGTATAATCACCACTTACGTAAGTGGCTTGAGTTTTCACAAATTAATATTCATCTAAAGTTGAATTCATATACTTGGCAAGAAAGAAGATTATTTGAGACGACACATATATAGGAGGAGGAGCTCTTTTCCTTGGATCTCTTTCTGTCTATCTATCTATCTTGAATTCCTATTCATTTCAATTTCATTCGTCAGCGCTGTTGTTGTTGTTGTTGTTGTTGACGATGTCATTGTCTGTGTTGTCATAGTGACTGATGTTGGTGTTGTTGTTGCAGTTGCACTTGAATTAGTATGCGGTGGTATCACAATAATATCAGTAATATTTGCAAATTCTACTGGTGCTTCTAAATCATGTATCGGCTCACCTTTATCATTCCAAAACGGTGATCGAACACGTTCCCCTTTACGCTGTCTAAATGCCATAACACGAAATGCATTATTTAAATAATCACGTAATTTACCTAGTGCCATTGGTTCTGTAAAAAAATACCCAGATCCAAATTGTAATTGTGCTTGACGTAGGACAGCACTCATTACAATTGGATCAATTGGTGCTTTACCTCCAGAACCGTTATAATTATGCGTCACTAAATAATGTAGACTAAATAAACTTTGCAGTAGACGTAGACATAGACGTGGGCCTAATTCGTGGGGTTCACCACGTACCATTGTTAAACACTTACAATATGCCCATAATGGTAATGAGACGGATTGTACACCACCGATGAAGATTTCACGTGGTTCATCTGGGTTTAGTATAACGACTGGACGATCGATTAAATTATTATTCTGGTTATTATTATTACTGTTATTGTGATGGGGATGATGATGATGATTATGTTGACTGGAACGTGAATTTGAAGCTGTTGAATGCAGCATTCCATTCGATCCAGAGTGTTGTAGATCACCTACACCTAATAAACTTGATCTTATGCCTTGATCTGTCGTCGACGACGATAGTGGTCGTGGTGGTAGTGGCGGTGGTGGCGAGCCGGACAATGCCCATGGACAATTATTAAAATTCATTGCTGATCTACGCATATTTTTCAATGCTGATGTTGAAATCCCTGCATTATGATGATTCGATTTGTTATTATTATGACATAAATGTAAACGATTATTAGGGTAGGGACAGACTTGTTGACATCTGTTCGAGTTCAAGCATTTTGTTTTTAAACGTCCAAATTTACTGCCACGAAAACGTAGCGATGATGATGATGATGACGGCGCTGGTGCTGATGGGGATGAAGACGCTGCGGATGAGGTGGATTTTCGATTGATATTCAATAAATCAGTTGGATTGAATTCATAATTTGAGAAAAACACTGGTGGGTATAGTCGAGGGGATTTGTGCTGAATAATTAAAAAAAGAGAAAGAGTAATAATTAATTAACATGAAAGAACACTTTTATAAAAAAACAATTATGCAAATATTACGATAATACTTCATCTCTGTTCAATCTACAGCCAATATCTTGATATACTTAGTAGTAGCGGATGAAATCCAGGAATTACTCTTCGTCCTACTTAGGACTTGTAAACTGGACATGCTTGTTTACTCCAGAGGGTGCGTACTGCCGATGATTCCCAAACTAGGATGAAACAGCTGTCCTGTACTCCTTGCTTGTTTTCAATGGTTCTCTAACTGATATCAATCCGTGATCACCTCGTCAAACATAAAACTAATCCTTACAAACCAACTATCGAGAATTAGTCTGATGCTCGCCAGTGACTTACTACAGGATGGAGTTTACTGGAGTTCTAGTGAGAAGTCCATTCAGTCAAGTGTGAGGATGGATGTCCCACCGACGACATTGGATGGGGTCGCGCTAAATCACGAATTAGTGGAAGCTAGAACTTTCGAGTCACTGAATCGGGTCCCAGTGGCTGAATGGTATAAGAGCCAGCTTGCCTTGTAACCGGAAGGTCCTGGGTTCGAACTCTGGTGGTGGGTGAGTACTGATGATGATTCCCAAACTAGGATGAAACAGCTGGATATCCAGTACACCTTACTGGTTTTCAATGGTTCTCTAACTGATATCAATCCGTGATCAACTTGTAAAAGCAAAAGTAACCCTTACAAACCAACTATAGAATAAGTAAATGTTAAAATTTTACCCAATACATAAAGTTTTCGGAAGGATAGATTCATTCCTACAGAATTTCAGAGTTCACAGCTCTGACCGATGAATTCTTCTAGGTGCATTATAAAACTCACTCCAGTAAAGTATTCCCACGTGAAACTGATATTTCATACTGGTCTATCTATTTGGATAGTGTTTTCGTAATCTTGACAGTTTATCTCTTTGAGTTAAGTTTCTGTAGACAAAGTATCTACATAATGGACTGAAAACGTCTATATTAGTTTGTTTATTAGATGTGTCACACAGCCACAGAAACAGTATTATTTACTGGATGATGTTTAGAGCAAAATTTATTGCTCATAATCATATCAATTATATACACACGTCTTCGAAACTTGAGTTTTATAGCTTTCTTTGTTCTTTCCTAATTGTCATTACTAGGGTAGTAGAATTTTCCAGATATTCGACTGGACAGATGTTGAATCATTCCCATTACACGTGTTTGCAGTTGATTCGATACACGAAGCTTCCGTTATGAATCTCTCCCTGCACCCTGTGACATTAGATGTTTAAACTGTCATATTAGCCCATCAATCTTTTTGTATGGTTGTGTGTAATTGCATGTAGTGAGTGGTGTAGCTGTACTATTATTTAGATTTCTCATCTTATTCGCGTCAATTAATCTAGATTTTTCTAGGTTTTTATGCTCGGCTAGTCTGACTGCCCCTGTTCTACTACTTTGACCTGGCAATCATTTCAGCAGGGTATTAGATAAACCAAATTGTTTTGTTTTATTGGCTGCTCCACATGATCCTGTAACCGAAAAAGCTTGTTTGTAGTTGAGTTTGTAGGTTTGAATGCCACTTTTGTTCCTGCCTTGTTAAGAATTCTCCATAAGGTGGTTTCCGAGGTTCCTTCTTTGTATGGAATTACTACTGATCATTTGGATTCCTTATTGTTGGTGTTGTCTCGCGCATGTTTGAAATGCATGTCGTCATTGATATTACTATTATTATTATTATTATCACTATCGCTACTATCATTATTTATTTTATTTTTACATTTCCCTACATATTTCCTGACTAATTTATCAGGGTAATAATTGAGTTTCAAGACTTCTCTTATATGTATCACTTCCTGTCGTAGATTTTCATTGGTACTACTTAGTTTTTGTGCTCTGTCACGTAAACATTTCACCAATCCCATTTTCACTGTCATACGATGGGATGATCGGTAGTCCAAATATGTACTACCCCAACGACGACAAATAGGAGAGAACAAAGAAAACTATAAAAGTCAAGTTTCGAAGTCGTGTGATTATAATTGATGAAATGATTATGGACAATAAATAGATTTTGTTCGAAACGTTATCCAGCAAACACTAATACTGTTTCACTACCTGCGTGATACATCTAATAAACAAAGTAATATGGAATTACTTACTACCACAGTGCCCAAGTTTTACACATGTATTAATATGAAAACGTCTAATCTGATGGCTAAGTTATTAATTCCTACCGAATGAATTTTCTCCTCTCATTGTCTAACTAAATAAAAACATGCAGTGTGTATGATCTTTGATCAATAATTTACCAGTGTGAAAGATAGAAAAAACATGTGAAATGTGTAAATGAGCTAGGAAACAGGTCTAAATCGTAGGAAAAAGGAATACTTCGGGCAGCGTGTTAACATCTTACTTGAATATACCACAAACCAATAGGAGCTGGCTTGCAGAGATTAAATTGGCTACATGTTTGAGCAATAGGAGACATCAGCTAGAGAATTATTGAAAATCCTGGGAGTACGGGATAGTTGTTTTGTCCTAGTTTGGGAGTGCAGTAACTCGCAGTCTGGGACAAATTGAAGGCATGAAAGCCAGCACTTCACAATTAATCTGATGCTCACTACCTACTGGCTGTAAACAGGAGGTTACCTGGAATTCCAGTGAGAAGTCGCAACTGGGAGTGTCCATTAAGTGAAGTAAGAGAGCAGATGAAACCGGCAAGAGGTTGGCCCTTTGGATACATACATATATATATATCCGTTAGTCATTGCATCGGGTCGCAATGGCTAAATAGTTTACGGTCTCGTCTTGTGACCGGAAGGTCTTGAGTACGAAACTTTGCGGTGGGTTTGTACCTCCGAGGAGGTTGGGTGTGAGGACAAATACCCGTCGCATTATGTCATGAATTGGCAGAAGGTGGAATTCATGGTCCATTGCATCGGGTCCCTCTGGCTTAATAGTCTATGTGCTCGCCTTGTAACTAGAAGGTTCTGTGTTCGAATCTTAGTGGGTGCGCAATGACGAAGAATCCCAAACTAGGATGAAGCAGCTCTCCAGTACTCCCTTCAGGTTTTCCAATGGTTCTCTAGGTGATGTCAGCTCACGATGAAATCCTGTCACTCTTGAAAATTAATTAACTAACTTTCAACTTTTAGTTTCCAGGTTTGACTCATAATCGACCTACTTCAGTCTGGACGACGAGACAGTATTATCAAGGCGTACAATATAAGCGTGTTTCATCCTACAGTATATGGAAAGTCTATTAGGCATAAATGAGTTATAGAATGGCACAATTAAATTTTAATTTCGATAGAGAAAGAAAGACCAGATTTGAAGAATAAAATGTGATATCATAATTCTATTTCACAGGTTCTCATCAGCTAACTGCAAACTACCTGAAATCACAATGTTTGAAAGGTAATAGTGAAAACATTATAAGATGAACGCATCCGGAATATTGTAAGTATTGCAATTATTTTTAGTTTAATTTACCATCAATTTATATACTATCAAACTATGGGAAGAATAGGGGGGGGGGGGACGAGAGAAGACAGAAAACAGAAACAATTAATAAACGGTGTTAGTCTGTACGTCAACATGGCAACTCAAGAAGGTTTAAGTTCATCAAATTGAAAACTTGCTTAGTTAGCTGAGCTGAGCTCACTAGTGTGTATGACTAATCAGTGTAATGAAAGTAATACGGTTACCAAGGGAGTGAGAGATTGACTACACTCTCGATTTCTGTGTGCATAAGTTTCCTCTGAGACGTTTGATTGCTGTAATTGTTTCAGCAGTAAATCGTAGTAGATTCGCTGTCCTTTGTATGTTTAATATTTTGAAGGATTTTTTTGACTTCTTCTGACTTAATATTTTTTTATTATCAAAACAGAAATCACTCTACTAGTCAAAACGACACTGTATTACACTGTATGTTCCTTTTTTCAGAGAAGATGGAAAGGCATAACTTCTACTTATTTTGATATAAGTATAAAACTTGAGCGCTGTGGTAGAGTGTAACTCCATTATGGATAAGATTTTATTCTGATAAATGACACAGTGTTATACAGTAATATTAACTGATGACCACGTTTCAAGCACAAACTATTGCTCATAATCATATCAAGTTACTCACACAACGTTTTCCTTCATTTATATACATGAGTGAAAATTGGTGATTAGACATTTGAATAAAAATCAATATGGGACAATGTACATTCAGAAATAATAATACGAGTGTTATTGGTAAATTACAATCAGATGGGAAATAAGACGAGTGTTTTTATAGTCAAAATAAGTGACTTGTTAGAATGTTATGATGTATGTGAGTTGAATTGAAACAGAATTTGGAGATTATTTATTATCCTCTTCTGATTTGAGTGACTGGTGGTAATAATATCTTCCATTTTTCTGGTATTTGTATTGAGTCATTTCTGTTGCATGAACCCGGATTCAGTAATCAATCTCTCTGTCCACCCACATAGATTACTTTTTAGAATTTTAAGCCTCTCCTTCCCAACCTATTGTGTGGTTGTATGTTAATGCATGCAGTATGATTGCTGGGTTTCATTGTAAAATAACTCATCTCGGGGTCAATTATTCTTACCTTGGCTAAATTCTTATGTTCCAACAATCTATTTATCCCCGATCTACTACTTTGACCAATATAGTTGAACTCACAATCATTGCAAGGTATTTTGTAAATTGTATTATTTTGTTTAATTTGGTCTACCGGGTCCTTTAGCCCACAGAGATTGTCTCTGAGTGAGTTTGTAGGTTTGAATGCCGCCCTAATTTCTGCTTCAATGGGCGAATAAATCTGAAACTTAGGTGAAATTAATGTTTCTTTGAAGCCTATGAATTTGAAAAACTTAATTTTAGAGCCACATACTGTTTGAACGTCCTTATTGGAAATTATAAACCTGTCAAATTTTATAGATACATCTGAGTTCTAGGCTTATAGAGATATCCAGTTTTTTGTGGAATGT